CCCCGCTCCCCGCAGGAGCGCGGCCCCGGGGAGGGGAGGCGGCAGGACGGCGACACCCCCGGCCTTAACAACCCCCCGCCCCGGCAGCGGGGAGCCCCTGGTCGGTCACCAAAACAGACGGACGGACGGACCAGGCTCTGGTCGTTTGGAACATTCAGAACGATTTATTGAAGTCAACCTCAAGCAAAAGTTCAGATCAGTGGAATGTCATTAAAAACCTTTCCAAATTAATCCTCACGGAAGCAAAAACACATCTGAATTCCAAAGTATTTGTAAAATAAAAAAGGCAACATCTCAGTAAATATAATGTACAAAAATTATAGGTTCCTACCATCACACACATTCAGTAAGAAGCTAAAATATTACAGGCAATTCTAGATACGCTATAACTAGTCGACAGTAAGCTATCTATATACAGGTTAACCAAGCTTTACAGGTTTCACACTATGCAAGAGAACATAGGCCGAACAACAAAACCCCCAAAGTATCGTATATCTCAAAGTCTATGCGGCAACATCAAGTCATAATACAGTAATGCCCCAGTGGAACATCGCCAGGGAAATTTAACACTACTTCGTTAGTGTCAAGAGCTTCTAGTCAACTTCCAAAAACTCTTAAGATATCGACTTCAGTGAATATTGATGCTTTGCTCTTAAAGACTCGAGTGATTTCGTTAAAATAACATTTCACAGAATCTACAAAGTTTGTTACAGATAAACAAAGTCTACGGAAATAACGACTCTACAAAGGTCATCCTTACAGATAAAGAGTACATGGGAATGGAAACAGAATCTGCAGGTATCTGTGTTGTGCAACATCACTCGTGTGGAAACGAACGGGTGTCGTTTCTCACGGCCACCCCAGGTATGCGCACACCCCTATGCGGAACAAAACCCCTTATTACCAGCCAGCTGAAACAGTAAGTTATCACCTTGTTTTCTGTGGCAACGCGATTGGTTTGTTAGAAAAGGAAAAGTGACACCAGAAATGAGATACAGCTCGACCAGTGAATAGGAAATGTTGGTTTTTTTTTTTTTTTTCATCCAGTCTCTTTATAACCCAAAAGTGAGTGAGAACTGCTCAGGAGGGTCCAGTGCCCGGCTGTGCGAGGACGTTCTGGGGGGGATGACGATGGGGGGGACCGCGCACAGCCACCTTGTCTTCTGGAGCTGGAAGAGACAGCGCTAGGGAAGGCAGCTCGCTTCTCTCTCGTGCACAACCCCCCCGGGCAGTTAGTACCACACGAGAAACAGTGAATGAGTGAATGGCTTTGGCAAATTCATACACGATTTCCCTTTTTGATTTCACATGAATTACAGAAGTCTTCTATGCAAAGCACAGATAGAATTTCAGCTTAACAACTCCCCTCTCTCCAGAGCAGTGAGATAGCCCCTCACAGGGGTAATAAGGACCTGAGCTTGGCACTCAGGAATAGAATATAATAGGAAACAGCTTTTTTTTTTTTTTTTTTTCCCCTTTTTTTTTCTTTTTTTTTTCCTCAGAACAACATTGTGAATACATCCAAAGTGTAGGAGTGTATCATAAGTGCAAATGTTTTTGCTACACAAAGATAAATGGTAAGGGAAAGTTGATGGAAAACTGAAAGCGAACGGACAGCATTACTCCAAGGTTGCCGTCTCTCATGCAACACACTTCTTGAACACACACAAGTCTGAGACAGCTGCTTTGAAAAACTCTCCCATTTGCCATAGATTCACTGTACAGCGGGAGCAGAAAGTAACTTCAGGGAAGTCAAAGACATTTTCAATGTAGTATACAAAAAAAGTTATGTATAAATAAAAAAGCTGTATAAGGAACCGCAGAGCTTCAAGTACATTAAACCCTGAATTCAATGAGGCAGAGGTTTCAATGTTAAAGTGACTACTTCGTACCAGCGTTGGACATCCCCCCTCCCACCCTCCTCCCCCACCCCACCCCACATATTTCTGTAAAGTTTCAATATATACAGATTTTATGCTCATTGTTAATTACGTCTAGTAATTGTGTCTTTCCCATTCTATCCTGAAATTAAGATACAAGAAGTTTTTTAGCAGAAAGGCCAAAATTAAACATTCCAGCCCTATTACTCCATTCTAACAGATTCTCTAAGACCATGGTGGTGACCAGAGAAGGTAATTTGCCCACAAAATTGCCTTTAACGTTATCCTTCCTGAGCTGCAAATGCCTTCAACAGTCTATTGATAGGACAAGTCTATACTAATAATCTGAAAGCTACAATAACTAATGCTTGCACCATGTATTTAGAAAATGGTAGTAACCAGCCATTGCACCATTTGGCCATGGTCTGCAGAACGTCTGCGCTGTGCTAAGGTGCAAACTGTAGAGTAAAAGCTCCAGTAAACAACAAAATCCCGTTAACTTTGCAGAGCAGCTCGGACACTGCACTATAGAGAGCGCACAGGCGACAGAGCTGAAGTCAGGTGTTCGCCAGAAGCGTGGTGCTATCTCAAAAATTTAAAACAAAAGTAAGGGAAAAGTGTGACAGTGCGTTCCAGTTAAGAAACAACTGACAGTCTTAAACAGCAGATTTAAGTTCTCAACCGAAATCACCAGCAGTTCTGTGGACTTCTTCCAGGCCTCAGCATGAAATGACCAAACTATCCAATGCTACTTATCTCAGTTTAGAGACCATACAAATTTAATTCAGCACCTGACACCCCTCTGCTGATGCCAATTAACCAAAACAGCTGCTAAATCTTTTCCTTACAAAGGAATTCCATTATTGTTATTCAGATTGCAAAGATGTGGTTAAAATGTCTATTTTAACATTTTGTGTTTGGCATATAGAACAAACCCCCTACAGCTACCAAGACACTTTGAATTAGGTATTTTCTTATCTCAGAATGTTAAAAGTTTTTTTTAAAGATTCACCTTCTCTCCAATAGTGTGAAATCCAGCTCAGACTTTTTGTTCATAAGCTGTACAAGCTTATAAACCAATCTCCTATTTTCCCTTTTAAGTCCAAGCCCAGCTGCTGGCTATTATTAATCTTTTTTTGGTGGAAAAAAGGAGCACCTGTAAGAAGTTTGAAAACAAAGTTAACCAAGACATCAAGTGGCATGGCACAGGAGTAGCAGCAGGCCTCAATTCACAGCATTTTACAAGTTTTTAAAAGCCTTCTGTGAACCTTCACATGTTCTGCGATACTCAGCGCACCGGCACGTCACAGCAGTACATCTCACGTGGCGACTGACGGTCCATGGCTCTTCTCTGCTCCCTGCCACGTCAAACGCTCATGAGGGCATTCTGGTGCTACTGCACCATTTCCCTCCAGTCAGTAAGTCACCACGGACACAGAATAAAAAAGCATGTAGGTGCACTCACACAATAGTGTATCTGCAGTATTCAGAATGCTCTGACTTCCTAAGAGAAAATCATTTGAACATTACCAAGCCTAATAAATAATATAAAGTAAACACATCGGGCCTTACAGACACTGTAGCAAGAGCTATGTTTGGAATTTCTGAAAAGGGTTAAACACCCCCAGTAAGAGCTTAAAAAGAGACATTTATCACACAAAATGTTAAGAAAAATAAAATCCTTTTTGTAAATTTTTTTTTGTAAAAAATACTAAAATATAGCACTGCTTTCAAGCAAGATTAGTGTTTCAGACATTCACTGTAGTACGGACCACAAGATGAAGTGCTTTATAGATCCCAATAGCCCTCTGTACCATGAACTGACCCACAAGATACCTGCAGTTATGCCACCCAAGACACCCCCAAGTTTGTAGGAAAGGCATCTGCAGACGTTCAGAAGACGAACTGCCAGATCAGTTAAATGGCACAGTAGCAGCTTAAAGAGATTGTAGTGTATTTTGTAATTTTACAATTGCACACGAAAAAATTTCCCCCCAGTACATAAATTTGAGGACGAGAAGGACACCAGCCAGATGCAAGACGTGTTCTAAAATCCCACATGTACTTTTTCAGCCTACTATTTTCTTGAACTGAGAAGTCACCATGTTCCTGTAGGTTTATGTAAGCAGTTTTCCAGAGACAAGGTTCTTAATTCTTAATTCAAAGGCTTAATTTAGCCAGATGCCAGCAACACTTGATATTAGTTCTCTTCATTCAGGATTATTTTCAATACCCATTAGCAAAAAGCTAGCACGAAGTTATCCAATATCAGTATACAAGTCAAAAATACACTCTAACTATACCAGGGCAGGGGGAGACGCACAGTGCTTTGTAAGATTGTGGGCTAAGGGAGGAGGTTCACCAAAGACTAACTTCAGCCTGGGGAAACTAGTCCCCCTAGGCTCCTTGGACAAGAAATGAAGGAGGATAGGTTTTCAAAAGAAAATCTGGAGCAGGAGCCTACCTAAGCCACTTCAAAAGCCTCACTGAAGGAGCCTGTCTCTCTACTGATTAACAGGGGAAATCCAAGACAGAACTGTCTCATGAAGCTAAAGTTGGCTGCTGTTGAATACGGCCCGTTACCCAGACAGAAAATACCCTGTTCATTGAAGAAATGCTGAGATTTTTCTTAGCTCCATTAACAATGAAGATTAAAGTTAGAAGATCTCTCTCAGCAAAAAAATCTAAACATTCAATCAAAACAAACACGCACATGGGTCAGATTCCTTAAGCGCTCAAATTTCCTTTGAAACTAATGGGAGTCTGAGAAGGTGGCAATAAAGAATCACACTAATATAACTGCCATAAAACAAGTGCAGACTTGGCAGATGACAAATACACACGCACAGAACAATCCTCCAACTAAAGAAGTCAACGGCAGAGCTCCCACTGGTAGGATTAAGACTTCAGTTCTGAGCGTGCTGCAGTATATGACCGAGGCTGGGAGGCTCTCCTAACTAGGAAGGTTTTCCAAATTAGGTGGGATAAAGAAATAACCATTGTGCAATTAAGCTCTTTCTGAATTTCCACCTGTCTGCAAACACCGATTATAGCTCTCGAGCAAGGAACCATGATTTCTTCCCTCCTTAAACAATGCTAGCTCTCGTGTTACAAGCACTTCCAAGAAGTCATACACCTGATTTCTCATAGGAAAAGCTTTACAATAATATTAATAAGTTAACATGATATATAACCTACCTTCTCAAAATGCCTTTAAAAGTAAGTACGGGAATGGAGGCATTTCAGGGTCACCTGGTCTGAAACCCACATCTGTCTTATGGCATCTCAATGTTACACAGAGTGGGCAGGCTTTACTAGTTTTCATAAACTAGACATAAAGGTTATGTTGGCTTTGCTATTTTGTTTTTAAAGACACACTGACTGATCAAAACCAGATCTTCAATACCCTTTAAAAATTAAATAAATAAATATGTTGCTATGCTTTGCTTTCTACACTCAAAGAACATATTTTAAACAGAATATTCTTTTCACTGTCAAAAGGTCTACGTTTTTCTTTGAAGGCCAAGACGTTTCTGGTTTCCAACAGTAAGAGCTGCTGTAGCACATTCGAGGGTAAAAGAAAGACCAAACAATAAAAACCAAACACCACTGCCTGCTTCCGCTTGCTAAGATTAAATGGTCCCGTTCCCAGTTCACACACGACGGCTCTGATGACAAAGACTGAATGTGTCATAGCAGTCTCTTCAAGTTCATCGCCTGTTTGCCTCTCTTCTCCCCTGCCTTGTTTGTTTTTAACCAAATTCACTCCTTTGCTTCTTCTACAGGATTCTGTGATTCCAATTTGCACTTTATCTTGCTCCAGTACTCAGGTGCCACAGGAGATGTGGGGTCATGTGCAGAGCAGCAGAGACGACCATCCAATGCTGATGCCACCAGGGCTCCCTTCTCATGATCTTTACAGAACGAATGAGGGCAAAACTCACAGAACGAAACTGCAGGATTGCTACAGATGTCGCACTGATGCCACGGACATTCCCACTTTCCTGAGGATGGGAGGGGAAGGGGGAAGAGAGAGACAGGAAACTGAAATTAGTGCATTTCAGGGACAGCACTGGCCTTTAACCCTTACTCCACGTTGTAACTGTTCAGATGAAGTTCAGAGAAATCAGCTCTTACTGTAGTTGCTACTTCTGCTTCTCATTTACAAGAATCTGACTGGAAACAGTTCTTAGTCATTTTCCATTTTTCAGGCCTCACTTGGCTCAAAACATTGCTGCATGCATAACCAGAGTTTAAAATAGTTAGATCAACCTCCTTGGGCATCAAGACACCAAACGTCCTTGCAAGATGGAGAGTTTGTTTTGTACTTTTTTCTGATTTGTGAACATCTCTTACTGATCTGGACACAGTACTTGCTTAGACGGGCACCTCCAAATTAAGTTTTAGTTCAACTGCAGTGTACTTTAAATGTAGAAAACTGAATGCATTAATTTTGAAAAATAAGTGAGAAATGGCTCAGAAAAGAAGTAGTTGTGTAAAAATATGTTTGAGCATAAAAAACCCCCAGATCCCCCAAACCATTCAGACATGTGTTTGTATGACCATGTGCTGAACTCTCGGACTGCAAAAGGTATACCGAACATAGCAAAAACAGAAAATCAAAAGCTTCTTGCTGCTGTGTCCAAGCCTTGCTGAAATCCCCTTTGGCTGCGTTACTGTTGAGAAACAGAGAGCATTCTCCTTCACAGGGACATGACACACCGCATTTACAGTGTGTCAAGACCCACGTCACAAAGAGTGAGAATAGCACCAAGATGGGACTCCAGACCTCTAATGAAGTTGTAACTAGCCCGTCTGGGCCAGGCTAACCCCAACACTCCCAAACTTCAAAGAAAAACAAAGCCAAACAAAAAAACCTCACTCAAGTTGCTCTTGGTGCTAAGATGCTATCATTTCTTTCTCCAGCAAATAAGCTATTTTGAGGATAGCTTCCATGTTTCTATCTGCTGAAAAGGCATGTGACAGATTCAACTTCACTCATGGCAGCCTTTTGGTTAATGTAATCATAGACTAATCTGGACTTCCAATTATTTTCACCAAACTCTTTGGAATCAGGAAGATTAAAGAGATAAGGGCTTCTACAAAATCCTGCAATCAGATTAAGATGTTGTATTGCTGAATAATTTGAGCCCTAGCTACAAAAGGCTATGCCTTAACATGGAAAAAGTCACATGGAAGAGACATGCTGTCAGGATACAGTAGATAATTTAAACATATATACTGATTAATTGAGCCCTACACATCACGCTTCCTATGTCAGTGATTTCACCTGTCATTTGATTTGCGCTTGGTGACTTGGGGACATCAAGATGTTGCTCATATTTCAATCAAAATAAGATCCAAGAAAGAGGTGCAACAAGAAGAACATTAAAAAGTATTACAATGCCTCTCTGTCCATTTAGGAACACTGCTGCCTGACGTATTTCTAAAAATGAGTGGTATTGCAAAAGCAAATATGCTGCATTTAATGTAAATGAATGCTGCATTTCAGCTCAAACATTGTTTTGCTGCAGGAAAGAAAAGATGAATAGGAAGCCATATGATTGCCCTTACCAAAAGGTGGTTGAGTCAGGTTAAGGCATAGGAGGTGGTATGCTTTGGGACAGTCCTTTTTATCACACATGACCAGTTCTCCCCCATCTCCACACTGGAAACAGTTGTCTTCATGCATCTGCTTCTGTTCTGTTTTTATTTTCCGTTTCTTCTGCTTTAATTTTGCATTCTTCACCTTCTCTTCATTTGCGGTTGCAAATGCTGTCTAGCAATTACAAAGATCATAGCATACAGTCACTTTATAAACCCCTTGCATTAAAATTAATTTAATCAACTTTGGGTTAGTTTTTGCATTCACTATGCTTAAATTAAATCCACTCAAAGTTTTTAAGCTATAAAAGCCAGAAACGCCCATCCCCGTGTATCTGAATTAACACAATTTGGTAAATTAACTTCACCCTAGACACTATAGCACTACAGTGCATAACTAAAGTCTTTAGAGACTTTCAAGGGTAGAAAATATTACACAGACTAAAGTTAAAAGTTAAATAAAACAAACAACCTCTCTTTGCCCCACTCTCACTAGATCTCTGGATTTGGGAAGAAAAGCTTCAATTTTCATCCACGTACCTTTGGACGCACTCCTAGGAAACCACTGCAGTTTTCTGCTCCACAATGACATTCGGTCCTACCATTGCCCAGGCAATCCAAATTGTAATTAAATGTTAACTCCATTCCTAAAATTTAAAGAAAAACAATTCACCCACACAGACACTGAGGAAAGACAGGCTTGTGACAATGACATTTCATTAGCATTTATCTCTTCATAGTCTGTGAGATCTAGCAGCAATATGTTTTAAAAGGGCAAGCTTGAAATAGTGCATTGATTTCATGAACTCTGAAAGTAACAAATCCTGTCTAGATCAGACATACGTAGCAGCTAAACTATCATACAGACCCAGTTAAAATGACAGATCTGGTAAAACACTTAACATGGAAAGAAAATACCACACCAGACCAATATTGGTGAAAGCATCAGAGCTATGGTAAGCATTTACATGACACAGAGTTAACACTGTACTTAGCAGCAAACCTGTAGTTAGCTTTAACAGTAGCTTTCAGCTTCAAACTATTTCTAACTATAAGATCCCTGTTAAAACTGCAACTCAAATATTTGTCTCCAATGAATGACAAAGTTCCTATAAATGTCACTGGTACTAAGTAACTTCAGAGAAAAAACAAAAAACGTGGCCAAGTTAGGAACTTAGCCATTTCAAGACAAAAGTACACATGCAAAATAGTGCCATCTTTTTACCTGCAGGAATATCACAAAGAGCAAAGAGTCCAACTCTAATGTCACCATTCACTGTCCATTTCTGTGTTTCACAGTTTGGATTACAACTATGATTCATAAAACGAGAATAATTCCCCTTTGGGCCAGCATCTATTATCCGGTCCTTCAAATAAAAAGACAAAGACTTATTTAGTACTTACAAAGAAAAAAAGGTTGCCTGCTGACAAGTGACCACTAATGGCTAAGGCAGCCAGAAATATGCCTATTTTAAATTAGTTAAAAGTGGTAAGTTTTCCCTGCAGAGTTAGTTTTATGAAAAAGTGTCTGACTATTTCTTCTTACAGAATTGAAATAGGCACAGAGTGCACAACCTCTGTTTCATCTCTTCACCCATTCCACTTGGAAGAGAAACACGGATGTTATCCTCCTACCAACACCCCAGTGGGTGGAATGATGCTTCTGCCAGCAGTTTGCCCCTAGTTTCAACCACAAACAGTTTATATTGGACAAGACATAATATTTACCTTTGTTACAGTTAACATATAAAAATTGGTTACGCTGTTTTCATGTGCACGTTTGATCCGCAATCTGCACTCTTCTTCGTCAATTAGCTCGCCAACATATTCATTCACAAATTCACCCTGAAAAAGGAAAACAAAGAAATCCATGCTTACCACTTATGATGATAAAGGGAAGCAGCACAGAAAAAAGCATTTCCTATGAAAATATACTCGATAATCACAAAAAGCATTAAACTTTAACCATCTAGTAGGCAAGACATGAATATGTGCACCAGGTATTTGTTGTCTAAACAATAAGGCCACTCAAAATAAAAAGGAGGCAGAGCCAAGCACTGTTTCTGTATTCACTACACAAGCCATGTTTGTCAGTTCTCTAGAATCCTTTAAAGTTTCATGCTTTCTTTTAAAAAAGACAGAGACAATATTCATAGACTCCTAAGGAAACGTGAACTAATACAATGGCAAGTATTTTCACTACATACTTCACTTTTATTAGGACTTTTAACAGTCAATAAACTCAGAACATTTGCAGTGACAAAGTTTTAATGAAACACAGATTATACAAAAATTGTAAACTTAAAAAACCTAATTGCAAAAAAAAAAAAAAAAAAAAAAAGTTTAAAAGTAGCCCTCCAGGCCAACAGCGTGTTCCCAACTTTTACCTGATGGAATTCAGAAGAGCTGGGACATGATTGATACCTTGATACAAGGGAGTCAATACTCAGCACTCTGAGCACCACTTTATCAAGACAGCCAGTTGCTGATGGTTTAAAACACTGTTAAAAATAGCTATTTGAAATACTCAAATTCAAGTGTCCAACAAGCACCTGATATTTCAAGAAAAACTCTTGTAATGTACAGTACCGACACATTAACAAGTGTTACCCTGTCAGCCATGCTTGGGGCAGATGCCTGGGCAAGCGACTTCTGAGGCGCCCTGAAGGTTGCGATGGGGCTCCAGGCAGTAATGCCTGTCCCTGAGTGCCCTCGCCCGTGGCTGTCACAACCCAAACATGAATGAAGAAAGTGGTAAATGAAAGGGATAAGGGTGGAAATCAGGCAACTTGCATCACGTTTCCGAGAGGTAAGTCGCCTAAATGACTTGGAAGCCTGGCACTCGTTAAAACTGATTTACAGTTTGGAATAGTCTAAGTCTTATCTGACACACATTCAACTTGATAAAAATCACTTAGATGCTTCTGAAAATTTTAGGCCAAATCCAAGGGTCAAAACGAAAGTCCCTTCACTGCCAAGTTGTTTTCGGTTCAGCCTGTGTGTTTGGGAACACCTGGACAATTCAACAGAACCACCAACAGTTTTCAGTAAAGCTCTTACAGGACACAAATGCATTTATAAAGTTTGCATATTAAATTCACAGGAACTCTACTATAAAAAAACCCCAAACCTGCTATAAAAATTCACCAGGTACTTGGGACAGGAATAATTGTAGTGTATTGAAAGGCTTTTAAACACAGCTCTTCTACCCACTATTCCTCTAGCTACTTGTTGTCAAATCAGTCAGGTGTGCATAGGTTGAAAGAAGTCCCAAACGCAGTCAGAAGTTTCCACCTATAACTGATAGAGTGGTTAAGGGCATCCCCACCGAAACTGGTCTGTTAAAACACCTTCAGTATCACCCTACTTACGTGCATGCTTGTCACATACCACTACATAGTATTTCTCTATCTCTGATTTCTAGAGACTGTAAACTACGTTTTAAAAAGCCAGGGAGGTAGATGTCTAGTAAAAAGAGACAAAAGCAAAGAATTCATAGTTGAAATTACTATACATAAGCCCAAATCTTTCATCTTGACATTGCAGGACCTCTTCAGTGGATTATCCTACACACTACCTGTGCATACAGTTAAATACCATGTTGCTTAATGGTAAAGGAATCAGTTGAGGATCTCTTTGCTTCTTCTATACTTTCTGATTACACTGGAAGCTAAGCACAGCATCCCACAGTGATCATCCAATCCAAAACGCTGCAGCAGAATTTCCAGTCTGGAGAGCCGCCACTTTCTCTCTACAGAGCAGACCAGTGTAATCCTCACATCAAGTTTGAGTCCACCAAAACTATGGCCTGTTTCCTCATCATGAGGAGCTCCAGCATATTGTTGCTGTTAGGACGACTGCAAATTCAAGCTGAAGAAAATATGAAGGCAACCAAGAGCAAAATTGTTCTCTAGAGCAGAGTCTTGAGGATGTGGGTTACATGACAAAAACAACTTGTCCTGAAGTCTTAAAGTGTCCAATTCCATCCGTGGGCATAACTGCATCTTTGACTCTTCAGGTACGCTCAGCCATCTCCTTGTTCAGAAACAACGAAGCCTGCATGAGTAAGAGCAAAACACACATCCGTCCATCAGATCCATTCCTCTGCCTGGCAAGTTAAAGCAGTGGTGAAATCCAGGCCAATCATCCTCATGCTTGCCTCGAAGTACAGCGAGACTGCAATCCAGCTAGACGAGGATTCTCACACTTACATATGCAAGTGTAATGTTTGCTTTTCCGTATCAACTGTTGCGTACCCCACCTGAATCCCCAACTGGTATCCCCAGCAATACAGCGTGCAGCAATACAGTGTACAGGCAAACGAAAGCGATCCACATCCAATGGCTTTCTGACAGTCAGGGAAGAATATTCCCACTCCCCTTCCTCACTGATTGTACCCACTGATCCTCTTAAAGACGCCAGCCATTCCAGTATTTAAGCCAAAGTCTGTAATGTTTCCTGAGGCTCATCAGTCCTTGCTGCTTTTTGTTATAATAGCAGCATCATTTGCATCAACAGAAATCTCTGTATCTTCATTATTCTTCTCTGCATTCTTGAACTTCTAAGAACCTTTAAAAAAGTTTGTTGTCCAATGCAGCCTGATCACCTCAAGCCTTTCATTAATAATCCCCTGCGAGTTCTTCTGAAACAAATCCAGGCTGAAGACTTGAATGCCAGGAGGGTGAGAAAGCTGACTCGTTACCAGACATCTGTAAGAGTAATACCACAAACTCCCCCACTCCAAGCAACCCACTAATGGAAAAATGCTGTCAGCATGTTGCTGTGTAACAGCATAAAAAGAAAAGGCAAAAGGAAAGACTTAAGAATAACCCCCTGAAAAGGCGCTCACAATTCAAGCCGACTCCACCCACCCTTTGAGCTTCTCTCACTTTGTGATTGTCATCTGCTGGCTTATGATAAGGATGAGGGGAAGAAAAGGAAAAAAAAAGAGAAAAACACAGGCGACTTATTTTGCCAGCCCTCTAAGATTTCATCATCTTCAATGGCCTTATTTACAAAAAGAAACCATCATTCAGACTACTTTTTCCCAAGACCGCTCTCTCCCTTTTTGCCCAGTAGACAGTGAGAAAACACATGCATGCTCTTTCCCTCCACCAACAGGATTCACAAATTCACAATCACCTGGAACTAGCTTTTCTTCCATAAGTATCCAGGTTAAGACGCTTCTGTCAAAACAGCTAAGCAGATTTCACCATTACTGCTTCACCTACAGAAGTTTCGTGTCTTTTTAACACAAAGCATTTACTTGCAAGTGCTGAAATTTTTTTATGCATTCACTTAAGGTACACAGAGTTGCAGTGTTTTCACATAAAACCACACTGATGGCTATCACAACCTTTGTCTTTTGTAATTCTACCTTTTTAATGCTCCTTTTTGTCCTGAGACCCCATCCACGTCGATCAGTTTTTATGATTTCAGCATCAGGGTAGAGTCTTTTGGTGAAACACTGGTTCTGACACCGCTCTCCTGCTGGGCACACCTGGGGATGGCACTCATACTGCAGCATCCTGTTCAGACACTCTGACTCCAGGCCACAGGGGTTCTCATCCGATGGCTTGCAGTTACAGCGAGGGATTTCTGACAGATCAGCTACCTGAATCTGAACCTTCCCTATTACCTTGTTGGACTGTGGAACAAAGGAAAAAAAAGAATAAATGATGAAGACAATACACAAAGGACACAGACTTAATAGCTTTATTGGAGGTATATCATCAACTGACATGAGAAGGCAAGAAAATAATGATTATGTCATTATTTTTCCTCTAGACCCTTTTGAAGGATAGTGTGTCACAACAAGTATACTTCCTGCAATTCAGCAGCAGACACGTGCATGCACTTTTACAGATGGTAGTTGCCACTCAACTGCTAACTGGGGACATACACTGTTCAGAGAAGCCAATAGTAAGCAATTTAAGCGAAGGACATTAAAACTCGTGACTCCAGACAGTACAGCATGAATCTCTCCCCAGTAAAATTACTGGTTCAGGAACTCAAAGCACACAAAGTTTATCAAGTACATCACTGGGATTTCTTCCAATTAAAACTAAAAACATTAAAGGAACAAAACCAAGTCCTATGTGTCCAAAATTGCTGGCAAGAGGCAGACTCTGCAGTCTGCAGTAGGATGAGCAGCCGGTACTCCTACTAATATTGAGGTCAGTGTTAACAAAGTTTAGTAAGTTGCAACAGCCAGCATGTATCTAAGACACATGAGACGAGCTTGCAACCAGCAAAATTCTACTTTAGGTAAAACTGTTCTTTAACCAACTCCTTCACAAATACTCTGCTAAAAGAATGTTTTATGGTACTGTAAGACAGAACAAAAGATTCTTGAAAAGAACACCAGAATGATTTATTTGAATTTCCTTAAGCTTTAATTGTTACAGATATTGGTTTAAATACATAGCTAGCTTATGCATAGAATAAAAATAGGAAAAGAAAGAAGCCAACTCACTTTAATGTGTTTGTAAGGTGGAGGTTTCCTTGAATTCCTTTCAATTTCTAATGCCTCTTTGCTTTCTCTTTGTGCTTTCAGCTCCTGGAAGCGCTTTGCCGCTTCTTCAAGTGCTGTGCAAGGGAGTTCAAAATAGAAAGCAATTAGCACCAGCTGCTGTTAATCAAATATATACATATATGTATTTAATTTTTTTTTTTTAAAGCTAGGAATAGAACTCTATAAACAAAAACACAAGCTAGAAATGTGTTACTGCAGTATAACATGAATCTATCATCAGGTACTTTTCAGTAGGTACTGAGATACTGAACAATGATCCCATGCAGCAGAGCCCAAGCTCCATCTTAACATGTCCCAGTTTGTGGAAGAATTGAACTTGCCCACAACAATACACAATGAGTAGGCACTTAAAGAAACACATTTTTATCTGCAGTCAAGGGATCTACATAATGTTTGCAATTTTACGTGAACACAGAACACTAGTCACATAATATTCCCATGCAGGTTAAGTGGTGATGGAGACACAAACACGTGGAATTTTTGTCATAAACCACTATAAACTTTGTTTGATTTTACCTTTCTTGAAGGTCTTGTTAATACTAGTTTGCCCCTCTGCAAAGCTTTTATCTCCTTCAACATAAGGGAAAACTCTGCCCTGGTGTACCCAATAGTAGTCATGTGAACCAAAGAAAAATACTGGGAAGTCCCCGATATCATGTTTGAGGCCCTGTATGTTGAGAGGCACAGACCTGGGATTGCAGATCTCTGCTGGCCACCACCTGAGAAGCAGAAAAAAAAAAAAAAAAGAAGAATGTAAGTTCCCTGAACCATAGCCTTAGCTCCTGGGTTTGCCTAACTGGATTGAGAAATAAAAGCCAGTTTCCTTCCTTAAAGAAATAACTCCTTCCTTATGCAATCAATCAAGGCTCCCTCTGGCAATGCTTGGGAAGCACCATGTAAAACACAAGAAAAGTTCTTAATCCAAATTTTGGAAAAGCCTTTTAAGAACATACATGGCATGAGAGTGGATTTCTAAGATCACCTGTAAATGCTTGTATTCCTGCAGGTGACAAACAGCAAACACAAGCTAGGACATTTTGGTTCTATAGGACAGCCCCTGGTTTTCCATATCACTATTATGCTCTACAGAGCAAATGTAAGCACAATGAAGTATCCATCATTGCCTGGAAAAAGCAGGAGAATTTAATTTCAAGGGCGACATTGATGTCTGACACAAAGTAGATGTTCTAGTTCTTGTTTACGAAGACTGAGCTGCTTTAAGTTATCTTCCTGTAATTCTAATAGTACGTTAAAAACATCCAAAGCATTAAAAAACAAAAATAGCGAACTTGCCTGTAATTTCCAAGCTTGACCCAAACGATCTGCTTGTAACGTAGCTTCTTGCCAGCTTTACAGTCATTGCAATTCCAGCATCCTTCAGGCATTTCTATGTTGAGACACTCAGGGTGAAAGGAAGCTGGGCAGGATTCACAGCACAAGAGTTTTCCACCTTTAAACAAAGAAACCCTGCTTGGTTTATAGAAGTAAGGATTTGCTTCCCCCTGTGCATAGCAATTGACATTAATTTTAAATCATCCATTCTACATTCTCGTTTGCCCCACAGAAAAAAATGGCAAAAGAAAGGGATCAAGTCAAACGTAACAACGTTGGTTAAAAAAGACTGTGCAGTGCAATCATCTGAAGTGCAAGCTGTGACTCTTAACTGCATCAAAGATAACACAAAAAAGCAGCTGAGTATTTTGTAAACATGAGGTAAGCTGGCAGGAGAAGCAACATTCCCAAAGGAAGCATGGCATCTGAAAGCAGCACCGCTAGTGATGGCCGAAACTTTGGCTTATTTCTTTGGTGACAGCCAAAACAATGACAAATAACCAAATTTTTAAGAAACACTTTTTCAATCAACATTGTTATGACTGAATCCCCCAGCAATCAGTTAGTGTGCATTAAAAAACCCCACAGCCTATAGGTTGATCAATGCTTTTCTGTGCCAAGGACATTATAAAATAATTGTAATAAGTTTGTTTATTCCACAAAAAGAAAAGTTTACCAGTATGAGCACAGTATATAATGCAGAATGAGACACCACACAAGTTGTCCCCATCCCAAGTTCCTTTTGAGCACAAAGGAAATCTTAGCATAGTGGTTAACATTAATTTCTGAAGTTTACACTTATTTGGACAAAAGTTGTTTTGGCTGGCTTGTATTTTGGCAGATGTATTAAACGTGGAGAGCCACAGCACATCTCTAAGCCACCCTCAGCAAACAAAGCAGCTCATACAATAAGACTTGATACATTACACATATTGTAATATTTTATATATGTAAGTATATAAAATATATATATATGCATTTTTATAGGTGTATAGATTTTAAAAAAATTAACAAGTTTTCTTGTCCCAGATGGAAAATCTGGGATAGACTTGACAGTATTTAAAGCAATTTTCAATCACAATATAAAAAGTGTGAATAGTAACTTTCAAACATTTATCAGAAAATCTTGTCCACCTATAGACTTTCAAAAATATCATTGCATTAATTGATTGTTGCATGTCACAATAAGCATTCCTTAAACAAATCAGTTGCATGACCAATACTGTATTTCCTCTGCTAAAAACAGTAAAATCCAGCCATGTGGATTTTCCAGAGCTCCCCAAACCCATAACAGAATTTTAACTTTTAAAGTATTTTTTTGCAAATGTTATTTCAGAGGAAATACAGACCCAGTGTAAATTACTGAAACATTATCCAACATGGTAAAATGCCAAGAGATGCAAAAATCAAACAAAATCAAACACAAAACTTTCAGTGCTAAGCAAGAAAAAAACCCAACACTTTGCTCTCAGGATGCATTAGTAAGATATTGCTCAAGCTAAGCAGAGGGCTCAAAATAATTTTTGTTTTCAGGAATTACAGGAACTACTGAAAGCCATCAATCTAGCAACGTTCAAAGTAACCTAACTTTAGAATGGTTAATTGGGCACCGTTTCTGAACACTCTCGGGAAATCAAATTTCTGTGGGGAATAAAATATTACATCTGAGTATTTTATACAGACAACAGTTACCTCCCCGTAAGGTTTTCTGAGATGCTACACCACCACCCACACCAGCCTCTCTCCTGGAGCTGCAGGGTTTTCTGCACAGGACAGAAAGCCTGTCCGCCCGCGATCTAGCATCTCCTGCCGCTCCTACGTGCAGCACTGCTTCAGAAAGCGAGTACCCGTCCCACGAGGAGGGGAAGGAGCACTGGCTGTCCCAGGCTAGCGGAGGCGGAACGCGAGGCCCAAGGACTAATGGACGCATATGCAGGCAAAACCTCACTGCCTTCCCCCTTCGGACATCCTCTGGATGGAGACAGTACCCACCCTCGTTCAACCTGAAAAATCCTTTCTTCTCTCAGGCTCTGCAGAAGCTACCTAGAAGACCTGAAACGGAACATCCCCCCTCTTCTTCCATACATAAAATCAATTTAAGAAGCTGTTTTACATCATCCTGGTAAGTACTAAGCGGCAACAATATCAAGCTCTATTTGCCTCCCCTACACATTACTGTGTAAATAGCAGCCCTGAGGCTGGAATAGCCTAGGCCAGATACAAAATGATTTAACCTCTTTCAAGGAGAATTTAGTGACAGCAATTATTTTAAGCCCTTTTGTAATAAAAAAATTGCCACAACATGAACACACGCTCACAATAATCAATGAGTGAAGTTTACTGAAAAGCAGTAAGTGGTGCTTGACAAGCAGACATTTCTCGTTTGATTTAAAGAGAGAGAAATAATAGAAAAAGCGAAAGTAAATTAAAGAGAAAGAAACTATTTTGGTTACCTTTCTCACATTTCTTTTTGGAAGCTGACGAAGGAGGAGGAATCATAGGTAATTTCATCAACTCAGCACGATTTGATTCATTCAGTAGGTAGTGGGACTTATAGGCATATGAACTGAACAGGGGGTCTGAATGATCCTGCACTACCAACCCTATACGAAACAAACAGAAAGAGATGAGTTGCAATGAAACTACCCATGATTCCATAAAGGAGAAAATAAAATAAATCAAATGAACACCTCTAATGCATATATGTGTGAATGAAAAAAAAGATAAAATGAAGAAAAAGAAAAGTCTGACAGAAAGTTTCTTCACTAAGAAAGAGGTTATGTGTTGGAGAGACTAAATTAAACTTAACTGGAAAAGCTTATGATGAATAAGCTGCTTCTAAGTGGATTTTCAATTGTGCTTTTACCCTTAATTTATGCATTTATAGAAAAGCACAAGAAAAGCAACCAATTTTAAATCTGTGTGACCCACCCTCCCTCCCAAATGAAAAAAGCAAGCTAATTTGAAGAGCTGGGGGATGATGGTCACTGCATCAAAGGTCATGCTGTTAGTTGGGGCTACAAACTGAAAAAGTGGATGTTGTACAGAAGAACTCACCACCCCACTTATTACAAATCTATCTCTAAGATCTTATCTATGAAAGCATTTTGCCTTTACAGTTGTGTTGGAAAAAAATAACAAGGGGGGTCAGTGATTCTGCAAGGCACCAGAGGGGAAAGAATGGATGAAAGTTCTGCCCTACGCCGTTTGTTTTTAAGTAAAGCTCCACCAAGCCTGCCCTCCCACAGCTACTTTGAGCAGTCAAGCACTCTGTTCTCCTATATACCTTTATTTCAAACGATGTGTTTGCATTTCTCTGTCTTTCTTTACCAAGAAGAGTTTTTCCTCATTGCTCCAAAGAGCTAGGCAGCCCAGGTGACTGCCCCATAGCTACAGATCAGAAGCACTTGGCCAGTAATTCATGGGAAGAGCAGAGCAACTGAGACCCAAAGAAGCAGGAAAGATGAGCTACCAAGAAAGCCGCCAATTCTTCCCCTTGTGGGACACACGCAGAGCTGAGTGCTGTAGAGAAGCTTTCAAAATGGGGTGCCTAAAAAACTGCTGTAAGGAGAATAGTGTCAGCCTACCTGGAAAGCATGTCCTCAGGAGGATTGATAAAACAAGTATGACCTACGCATGCAATTAGGTGAACTATAATGTGCTTAATGAAGGATATTTCAGGAAGGTGAATAAGAAGTCTTAAAATATACCGTATCTGAAGTACCTCATGATAAGCAAGTTTGTGTATTTTACAGATTGTCTCATATCTACATTTTCTCACTTCAGTAATGCTTTGCATCCAAATACAAAGTTCCTCCTTCTGACACCAACTAAAACTAATTAAATAACCGTTCTCACATACAGATGCCCAAGTATTTCTAAAGCATTCAGTTCCCCATTTCTTTCTGAGCAGGTACTCTCAGTGCTCCTGCCACAGATGCTGTCCTCACCTTATGTCCCTCATGCTGACCACATATGACTAGACAGGACTCAATTCAACCCATCCGGGGGAGTTTGCTAAATGTAAACCTCGCACAATCTTTCTTCGGTGAAGCACACTGGCTCCTGATTCCAGCTATGCCTAGTAGAAACAAACCCCACAAAAATTTTCTAGAAGAACAAGTACATAGTTGCTGTAAAATACAGAGGATTCAGTCAGTGGTAGCGGTTTGTAACTTTTCAAGTTCTCATTACTAAGACTTAGTGAATATACAGGACAGGAAGTTCCATCTGCTGGGGTTCAGAGGTTACTTATATTGCCAGGAGAAAATACAGACTTCTGTAGTTTCATCTCTGATGAAGCTAGATTCAGTATAAACAGAATTACTAAAACAATGTCAAATGAAAAAAAAAGTAAAAAAAAAAAAAAAAAAAAAAAACTTTCTTCTGCACTTCATTTATTTTTTAGAAATAAATGCAGCTCTGCATCTCCAGCAAGCATAAGACTCCTTTACTGTAATTCAGTTTTGAAATTCTACTCCTAAATTCTGATTTCTGTGTCACATATATAAGGTGGATGCCAAATAGCAGGTATTCCTTTTCATAAAGCTTTTAAATAGGTTCTACTCAAGAGAACTAGGAGGCCTCTGTTTTACACCTTTGCGTCACAGAGTCAGTAGCCAAAACTTGGAGAAAAAACTCCCAAGGAGGTTCACCTTCATATGTACCTGTAACAAACTACTGCAGATTTATAATCTAAGTAGGCTCTTCCATGATATTTGGATCTTAAGTCATCTTCAGGCATCTGTAGTAGCTGGCCACAGGTTTAATAAAGTACAATTTTGAAGAAATTTATTTAGCTGGTTTGTATCATGCAAGATATTTGGATACTACAGCTTAATAGTGTTTTAAAATTGGTAGAAAACCAAATACTTAGGATAAGCCCAATGGCAAAAGCCTGCCATTGCTTTCCATTCACATCTTAGTACAAACACAGCTTTCATAATTGAGATCAGCGACGTCCGCCTCAGTGTGGTTCTCTAATAGCTAAGATCCCATGACCTACCTCATGCAGGAGCAGAGCAGCAGGACAAGACATCATCCTACTGTACAGAATTCTTCATGTTAATACTTACAGGGGCAGACTAAAGCCACTGTTGGACCTTGCCGAGAGACATTTCTACTCTGACATTCAAACCACGGAAGATCCACAGAAACTCTTCTGTCATAAACCTATATCTGATCCTGGGACCAGACTGACTCCGGACAACTGAGATAAAAAACATAAAACCAAAGTGCTGAAAATATTATGGAACTGCTCTACCTCCCACAGAAATTGTTTTTAATGATTCTACTCTAGCTCTAGAAAACAAACAACTTCTTTCTATGTATTTAGCTTGGGCTTTTGGACATAACCGTTGGTTAAATTAATAATGTTCAAGGATAGGTACTCATTTTTCTCAGAGTTCGCATCTGATGCGGAATGCCCCAAAGCATCTGCTAACAGAATGCTACATCACACATTTTCAGCTAACTCTATTTCAAAGACATGGAAACTGGCCTGGTTTTGTTGTTCAGACTGTGCATTTGTACATGTAATAATATCATCAACCAAAATTAAAACACTAAACATATATAAGGCTACCTAAAAACCTAAAATAAAAGAGCATAAAGACACATACAATGTCAAATTTGCATGTGTACATTTATGCAATGCTGATGTGAGTCACATAACACATATCCTGTTTTGGGGTGGCCCCAAAACGATTAAATAAGCCCACAAAAGGAGAAACACTGAACCATGTTGTAAACATCTTTTTACACATTCAGAAGAGCTTTTTTCTAAAGAAAAAAGAGAAACTTACTGTTTCTCTCTGAGCTTCTGATTTTTTTAATATTTTATTTTAAACTTGATCCTTTGTGATGGCTCCTAAATTACTTGGAAATGAGGAAAGAGGAACAAAGGAGAGAGGTAGAAAGGAAATTATTCTGGCACCATCTTTCCCTTCCTATTCAAAGATCTTTAATTACTACTCTGCTCTTGCAAATTCAAGGCAATCTTTCTCATACTCAACCTCCAACTGAATGAACACAAGTGAAAACATGTAACTTCAGGATTCATCTCATTTTCATTTCCTTATTAGTGACTTTCAAAGCTGCTGAAAAGAATATATCTAACAAACTTTTGAAATACTGTGTAAGATACATACTTTTATTCAAATACCTAACCCTGTCACTTTGATTAATCTGAGATAATAACGATATTTTTGCATTATGAGACTAAAGCAACTGATGCACCCAACCTTTTCAACCTGCTATCTGGCAGAAGACTAGTAACTTAAGAGCCATAAAAGTAACAAGTGGAAGGGGGGAAAAAAAAAAAAAAAAAGAAAAAAGAGAACTTTGGCATATGGAAAATCTCAGCATGAAACTTGTTTATACACTATTACAAATGCTTTTTCTTTCAAAGTTCTCAATGCAATGGTAGTTATAAATTAAAATGAGTTTTTCTAGTTCGTGAGTAAATACTACCTTTTAGCCTTAAAAATTTAAACAGTTTTAAGTTTGTGAGTGGTAAAAGAATCCCATTCTGCTTAATAGACAGCAAATAAAAACACAGCATCCATTCTCAGCTTGCAATGGCTGGAATTAGAGGCTTGGCATCCACTTTTTCCTACTGGCAAAACAAGTAGGCCTTCTGAGTACCTATCGCTATTTCTGAGTATCAAATATTATGGACCAAAATAGCAAGTGGAAGCCTCATGAGAACTGCTGACCAAAAAAAAAAAAAAAAAAAGTAAAAAAATCACAGGCAGCATTTAAATCCCAGAGAGCCCTAAGGGAGGAGTTCTTTATGAAATACATTATTTTTATCACTAAACTGCACAAGTGACCATAGAACTATAAAACGGGAAAAAACAAGTGTGCTCACCTCTTGCACAAACGAAACAAAAGCCTACATTTACAGCTGATGAGGAGTGATTCCTTTTGGAATGGTTACTACAGATGAGAATGTGGGATGACACAAACAAGCTTCCTGCAGCAATACAGCCATCTCCTGAGTGATAGGCAATGGGACATCTGAAACATCTCACCATGCGACCTGTTTAATATAAATGCAGAAAAATGCACCATGTCACCCTGGAGTCAGGATATGGTAGAAGACACCACAGACAGATGCAAGGCTGATTTTTATTCCAATCAGAGTACTAGATTAAAACAAACATTTACATCTTAAAAAAAAAAAAAATCCACAAAAATTAACTCTTAACTTTCACTTTAAAACTCTGTTAAGAAAAAATACATGGGTTTAATCATTCTACAGTCTACTTGTTTTGTTTAAATATTTTGGTTAAATTCTAAAAGGATTCTTTTTTCCTTGAAAAGTAATTGCTCTAAAGGCCACTACCAACTGTCTTTTAAAAAAACCCCCCAAACATTCTTTGGCCTTGCACTACTAACCCTTGGCTTCCATTAAACCCAGCAACAAAAGATGACTTAAGTGTTGCGGATCCAGGTACACTTCAACAGCAGTCTCAGGCTGCTAGCTTTTTTCCCCACCCACGATAGACTTAAGTTAATGACCTCATTAAGAAGGAAACCCTTGTTCCTTGCTGCATGCTGCATTACAGAGGGTAGAGTTATATTCATTGTTATTGTGATGACGCATTTGAGTTTCCTCCTGTTCAAAGCCAGCTCTGTTCTCACCTTTGCTTGCCTTATGAATATCCTTATCCATTGAGCAGGCACTACAGCAATGCTGCGGGCAACGAAATCCTCGCGACTCAAACAGAGCAGTGGCAAACTTGCGAACACAGGCCTCGTGATAAAATTTACCGCATGTGTTGACGGAACAGCGCTTCACATCTTTGCCAGGAAGTTTGCATGAAAAGCACGTATGTTCTCCTTATAAAAGAAAGAATAAGGAAGCCCAGCTGTAACGGCCCATTCTTTGAGATAGATGTTGTTAAAAAACATTATGAAGCGAACTGTTACACTGGCTTGAGCAACACAGGCTCCTTCCCTTCAAACAGGTAAGCGAGTTACTATAATCCACAATAACTATGTAATTGCTGTTAACATAAAAGCCCCTTATTCTGAGTAAAACCTTAAGCCGCTATTACTTTTTTTCTTACCAGGTACTTGCTAAGTGGGAAATGAGAATCTGGCCTCAAAGGTTAAAAAATAATAGAATAAATCAAACCCACTCCCAAAACCTAGAAACTTACCATCTCAGTTTGCTCTGACCAGAATATGGCTCCTTAGCAAAGTGGGAAATCCCTCCCCATTTTTCAGACACAGGACTGTTTTTTCAGACACACTCACCATTTTTACACTCAGTGCAGATGAACTTCTCATCGGGCATTGACTTGAGGCCGAGACACTCCATATGAAAGACGCTGCAACACTCGCCCTCGCAGGACACCAAAGACTCGCCAGAGCTCTCGCAGATCTTAAACAAGCAGACAGCTAATCAGAGAACAAAAGGTACCTGACAGACTTAAATGCAAATGACTACCAGAAGTTAACATAGAATCTGGCTGAAATCTCTTCAGAGTTAAGATAAGGCAAGAGAACTGGCCTACATCCCACAGCAGACCTGGAAATTCTCTGGGCTGGAGACAATCCCAGCACTTTCTGCATCTTGCTCTGATAACAGTGTGAGCCTGGACAGAGATAGGAGAGGCACTACAGATCTATCTGGACTCCTCGTTTTCTCATGCACCTGCAGAGCAAGAGAAGCTTGTTCCCTTACAACTGACCAGGAAACTCGTCAGAAGATTCCAGGATTTTCTCTCCAAAATACTGGAAAATTCTCACTCTGCCCTATCTTGAAAGAACATCTAGAATCTCTGAATGGAGCAGAAAATGGCATCTACTTTTTCTACTTACTACAGCAGGTATGGATTAGATCCCACTTTCTAGCTTTTGAGCTTCCTAGCATGTGGGAGAACCTATAAATCATTTCCAGAGCACAAAAACTCCTAAAAGCCTAAATATTTTATCTGAGATGTCGAATTATGAGACATGGTTAAAACAAAGTAGTGTAATTTGAAAAGTCTCTCAGTTCAAACTAACAGAAATGGATGATACATCTTTAGTATTCATTTATTTACAGTACCATCATTTACCTGACAAACAGTGTCTTTTTTATTTGTTCCAGTTCCTCTCCTGGACAAGCTAGAGTCTACCGACTGCACATCAGAAGCATCAGCATCGGCAGTAGCTGATGGGCTGTCTGAACGTTTTCCAAAACTACCCTACAAAGAGGAAAAATCCAAGACACTCAAACAAGACACTTCCAAAGGACAACCACATTGTGAAAAAATATTTATGTCACCACTGATTAAAAGATCATTCAATATGTCAAGAGATGCAAAGGTCCTTGAAAGTTGCTGAACTTCGTTAGAAGGATACAAGTGCTGCCTTCTTGACGTATCTTTTAGCTGTACAAGCAAGATATCTATCTTACTTTTTCCAGACACCTCTCAGTTTTACACCAAATAAAGCAGCATCCCCCAATTCCCAAAGAATCTAACAACCTTCCAAAGAGCAAACCAAGTCAGTGATCTAAACCAATGTTTTGCCAGACAAAGAAGTAGGAAAATTTGTAAAGAAAGATTGCAACTTTTTTTATATCAGTACAATGGAGGAGATTAGAAAGAAAAAGACTAGGCTTTATTTTTTAGACAATAAAAGACATGAAATTTGTAGAAAATACAGTGTTCACATACTTAGCAATATGCAACTGAAAAGTCTATTATACTGACAGATTAAACGAAGAAGTGCCTGTACGAAACAATATGCCTTTACCTGTAAATCATTAAGTCCTCTTGAATCAGAGTCAGATGTATCTCTGTAAGCTGAACTAGTCAGTTCTACATCAGTTGAAGCACGACTCCTTTTCTTTAAAGGTTTACAAGAATCTGAAATCTCGCTGGCACCTTAACACAACAATCTAAAATTAGTTTTAATATATGTTCGCAACTTTTTGCTTAAAATTAGTAAAGGAAAAGAAAGATGAGAGACAGCCTGAAACTGTACTTTGTTTGCTAGCCTTAATTTTCAGTCTGCAATTTTGATACCAGTTTAATTCTCCCTGAAAAGCTAATTAACTGAAAACCACCCTAGGAAGACCTTCCGACAAACTTCTAAACATGCTGACATAGTGGAGGAAGCTACTAAATTGTCTATAACAGATGATAAACCCTTAGGAGATTACCTCCTCATCATTCATCTTTAAAATATGGCTAAGCAAAGACTTTTTTTTTTTAAGAAATATCCAGAAGAAGGACTTTTTATTATGTGCTTACAGCACATTAACAAACACTATCTTTCCAACTAGCAATGCGCAAATGAACAACAACCTCCCCCTCAAAAAACCCCCCACAAGAGAAATTAAGATCAGCATCTATCATGTTCATCACCAGAAAGCATTAAGACCTCTGCAGTTGACACAGAACGAAACCCATTGCCGAAGTGTGATGAGCCAGGAAGTTTTAATGAAGTTTATTTTCATATGTAACTCACCTTTCTGCAATCCTGTCTTCACTGCTGTCAGTGGAACCATTTCAACCTGTTTGAATAGGAAAATCCATAGTTAAAACCAGAGGAATTTTTCTCCCTAGTATTAAAAAGAACACATTAAAGTTTAAGTGATTAGCATCTCTGAACTCTGATGTAGTCTGTCATCCCCTTCTTAGCGTGAGCCTTCTTGTCCTGTTGGATTTAATCCTAGCTGCCTATGCTGAATGCCAGGAGACAAGGCAGCCATACGTTCACTAGCAAGGTCCTTTCCAATCACTCCCTTTGGGCATGAAGATGACAGGAAAGCTTTATCCGTGTCCAGCAGGCAGGAGCGGGGATCGTTTTGGCAGCCAACCCTGATGCTTTTGTAAAACCCCACACCTGTGTAAGCACAAGTTCCCCTTAACAGGTATGACACTCGGGTTAGTGAGACACTTAATGCACTGCCATTTAAGGCACTTCCACCAAGCATGCACTCTTGAGCTCCTGGGAACAGACTTTCTCTCTGTATAGAGTGCTGCAAGGCGCCCAGCGATGGCGAGACGGACTTCGCACACAGCGTTGCAGGGCTCTATACAGCTGGAAACTCAATGTCAGTATACACTTAAGCAGACAAGTTTACAACCTTGCAAAAGCGCTTCAAGTTCTCGATCCTATATCAGAAGGATAAGTCTAGAAACTGTTCTGCCAATGTACATGTAACACGTGAGAATTTGGCGACTGTATAATAATTATAGAAGAGAGCTGTTGCCTAAATTCCTGTTTTTAAGCTTAAGAATTACAAGTAATTTCTTTACAATGTGGTTACATATGCATGTAGAAACACATTTAGTAAATATTTAAGGATTATTCTATAATTTTTTTAAAAAATATTTTATTTTGTTGTACAATAGGTAAAAACATACAATAGAAGGATTTGTATAGGATACATTTCGTAATACAAATATAAAATCTAAACAATCACTTTTATTTCTCCACTAGTCACTGTAACAGTAGCATTAACATTTTGTTTTTCCCATTAATTGTACTCGTTCCAGTTATAATTTTATACCAAGTTGTTGCAGACTAATTTGGGAATCAGTTGCAAGAAAACTTGACTTTGGGTAACAAATATTGTTGCATAATTGTAAGAAGTTAGTAAGGTTTTTTTTTTTAATATAACTTAATACATTCAAGGTTATGCGCATTACAGTGCATCTGTGTTTAATTTTTAGTCATATACTTTTCCTGAGAAAAGCACTTTAATGTTCATAGTCTTAGTTAGCTAGATAATATAAGCAAGCAAAGCTAACCGGGATCCATGAAGTTCATATTGTTGGTTCTTATACCTTTGTTAAATTAAGAAACATTTACAAACGTAAAATAACTCATTTGAAAATAGGGAGGCTGCAACACCTCATGACAAGAGGCTTAAGGGACTACATCAGGTATCTTATGCCCAACATTTAAGTTGCTTCAAAGTTTCAGCAAGAAACTTTCTAGAGTTAGAGCATTCGTCTGCTGAACACAGATGTAAATGCTATGGCATCAAAAGAAAAATATGAAAAAAAAAAAGAAAGCAACTGGGTCCACTTTCAATCTCTGAAGTGAAGGAAGTGCAAAACAAAGCATAAAGGGCAAAGAATAAATTAAAATAAAAGAGATAAAAACAAGTTTTCCCCCTTCCCATATAAATCTTTAGCCTGAATGTCCCTTTTTAAAAATTCTCACTGGTAAAAGCTATACTATGAAACATTTTATATAAAATTCTCAGGTTTCAAGTGGAGAGGCCCTCGAAGTGGGAAAATCAACCATGTAAGGAAAAGAACCAACAACTTTGACAAACTTGTTAAAAAGTGTATTCAGTTTTTAATACTAATGTCCATCCACTGAACTTTCCTACTCATTTCCACGCAAAATTTTTTATAATTTTTTTTAAAGCAACAACATTTGTCTGTCTGACATCCAGATTAAAGGAATGCCCTGTACATGTTAGATCTACTTAAGGAAAAAAAAAAAACGTATATCCCAGAAGACCTGTTTTGCTGATGTCTGCCAACATAGAAGTCTGACTATTCATCTTTAAGTTAAATCATTCTTAAAGTCCATTTTCAAAACTGGTCAGATTAATCAGTCTAACTTCATTTGAAAAACAAAACCTCAATACAAACCAGCAGCTAAATCAAGAGCAAAAGGAAGGAACCTGGTGGCAATTCCATCAAATAGAAATTACTGAAACAAAATCATTTTGCTCATAACAGAAATCTCAAAGTAAACATGGCAGGTTCATTAGGAGTCTTGCATCATTGAGTTCCCATTTTCCATAGCCTGACTGATACTGTGAAGATGCCAGTAGCAGAGTCACAGCAATGGTATTGACAAGGGGATTTCATGAAGGATAGTCCAAAACGAAACCCGATGGGGAAAAATGGAGAAAAATAAAAAGGCACCAATATAAGCCACAACATTTATGAATACAATATATTTTAACTCTCTACATGGAGGAAGCCAACCTGCTCCTTTTTGATCTTCTTCTTTGGCACAACTTCAGTGGATTTCTCAGACTCTGAGCGGGTTCGAATCGATCTTCTCTGTTGCTTCTTTTCTACAGAACCTGAAGAAGGAAAAAGGTTTCCATTATATGATTCCTTGTATTTCTGAGGTACAGCAAGATGTTCAACACCAAAACAACAGATAAAGTAACGAAACCAAGACTCTTTCCTCTTTTGAATGTTTTATTTTTAAATTCAGTTCCAAGCTATTTGCCAGCTGGTGCTGTGGTTGCAGACAACACGTTCTGATTCCATAGACAGAGAGATCAGCTTCAGAAAAAAAACACCAGTAACAGAGCAAAACAAAAAGCTGGAATCCAGTTTAGGGCAAACAGATTTTCATAACACATCTCTCAAGCACAGTCTTCACTTTGGTTAATTTTTAACCAAATAGTCCATCTTTGGCATTTATGGGAAGGTATCCACAATCAACTTCTTGAACTAAAACAAGCTAGAAATTTAAGATGCAAAACATAGCTTCCAAGTTTTCACTCAAAACACCAGTTCTGTCCCCCTGCTCTGCAGCGGGATGGCCTTCTATCAGAACTGGCTAACACAAAAGCTTCAAGCAAGAACCACGCTATAACACGTGCCATCAGTATGAAATCTGAACACTCAACTACAGATTTTGAGAGGTGAAGAAAAACCCAACACAAACAGAAGCAGTGATCATGATGTGTTATTATAATTAATGAAAGTAAAAAGCCAAGTTTTTGAAAATATTACCATGGAAAACAAACTCAAATTAATGAAGGTTATTATGACATTTCAAGGGATGAAGTAGGAACTACTGGTTTTTTGACAACTAAGGTTGGCAAAATCAGAAGACCATTCTGTGCTACAGTACCTGTAACAAAGGGCATATCGAGAAACATGTACACAATACTTAACACCATGCGCAACTTCTGAAGCAAAGTACACACTTATTGCTGTACTGACAGAAAACTGGAATTTGAAGATTTACAATTATCTGTTGTGACGCATTATTCTTGTTTTTCAGTTTGGGGTGTTTCACCTAAAGAAGACAGGAATGTAAAATACTTTGTATTCTTCCAAGCAAAAATGCAAACTCTTGGGACCAGAAATTAGCTTACTGTGTCAGATGGACGTACTGTTAGAAGTTGTAAACCTGTGTCTTCTCGTTAGGAGATAAAATATCTAGAGAGATAGGCAGGCTTTAATCAGACACTGAAAGAAAGCCTTTCAAAAGGACTCCAGAAACAAAATGAAAATTCATCTTGATTAATTCGATAGGCGTTTTTATCAAGGTTGCATGGCTCCGGAGTATCTCAGTAACTAAACTTTACAGCTGAGAAAGATGTTGTTTTACAATAACTGTATTTCTGAGGGGAAAAAATTGTTTTTCTTCAAGGGAAAGAAAAGTTTTACAGCATATTAACTAATTAATAACAGCAATGAGTTATTAATAATTCAGAAATTAATAACTCAGCTCAACATCCTTCATGTTAGCACACGTGTAACTTTTGGTTCCAACAAGCTGCATCCTTTGAGAGACACACGCAACTACAACGGATCTCAACACTAAAGCTAGGGGCCATCTTTTGTCACCTTTGTGTTCGGCCAAAATTCTCTGAGCAGCTTAAAGTAAATTTGAGCAAGTGTGACCAAACAGTTCATTTAATCAACAAGGTATTTTCTCCCTGTGCTGCCCCACTGTAGTAAAGGAAATAAGATGCAAGCCCTATATCAGAGGAGAAGCTCCAGAATCAGTACATCTAATAATGGCTGAAAGCAATATTGATCAATGCAACAGGCACTTTTTCCTCTTCCCGCTCTCCAAGGATCCAGTGCATCACCTCCACAATGCTCCTATCCCGTCTTCATGCATATTTTGATCCAGAGTTTCAGGACAGATTTCAGACCAGCAATCTACCTCACTACTGGCCAGGTCAGGTCAGGTTAATCCTGTTTCAGCTGTATGTGGAGACCAGAGGCACTATGAATTCTCATAGCTGTTCTCTTATTATCAGATTTCAAGTTACAGAATTATTTTCCCGGCATTATGGAATTCTGTATATCTAACTGCAGGTAATTAACAAGGACTCCCAGAGTCATTCTGTAAAATACTTTACCGTAAAGGTATTCTGAAGTTCCGGTGACCTTAAATTTGAAAAAAGGACTTCGCAGTTATGTTCCATGAGAGGGGACCAATAACTGTCTGGACTTTGGAAATGGCTTTGAAAGTGACTGTTTGGAGTGTATACTGAAGTAAAGCTCATGCACTCTATAGGGTGTTATCAGGTGGAGTTTTACGTATCCAAAAAACCTAAGAAAATGAAAAAAGAGAGGCTCAGAATTCTCACCCCCCTACGTCTGAAGAGCCATTGTGAAGGTGAAGCCTTTAGTTCCCAGGTGAGAGAAACAAAACAGCGATCACCTCTCCTGCTGCAAGGCAATTAGAAGTAGCAACTGTTTGAAAAAACAGAAGTAGCTACAGCAACTAAAACTGGAAAGAAGAACCACTGTCGACAACAGCAGAGGAAACCCCACTTGCACCAGAATATCCGGAGTACTCAGCCTGTATTGTAAAGTCCCCAAATACAGTCCACAAAACAGTGCATATAAAAATAAGCCTATCTAAAAACTATACAAGTACAGAAACTGAAGTGTGTTTGCAGAGGACAGTGATCTCACGTAAGTTGACCACTGAGGTTTTTTTTGACTTGGGAATCTCAATTTATTTTATGTTTGGAAAGGGAGAAATAACCAAACAGACGGATAGTTGAAGCAGAAGTGACACTTGGCAACGTTATGAGATTTTTTTCTCAAGAAGAAAAGAGCGGGGTTTTTTCAGCATGTGTACTATAATAAGTCTTCCATCTTTTTCTGCTTCCATACCATGAGCATTTGTACATCCTACTGTGACAGAAAATCAAGGTGTTCTGATGCAACCTAAAATTTATTTTTACATACCCAATGTAAAACTAAGTATGTTTGAGACTCTACCAAGAATATGATTACAAGCACAGTAACAAACATGCAATAGTTAATGGGGATTTTACATTGCCTGCACAAAATCTGTGGTTGAAAAACAGAAGTCACTGTAAGGGCTGGAGGAACTTGAAAAGCTCTTGGTTTAGGATGACTCAAAACCGTCTCTTTTCAGGAACCTCCATCCTTTCACCAAAGGGTATCTATCTTCTCTTGAGGATGATGAGAGGACATACTGCAGGGAAATTTCTGCTGGTGGGGAGAAAAGCTCAATCCCTCTGGAAGCATTCCCATTAGCTATTTCTCAAAAATCAAAACATGAAAAAAATGTTTTCCTGTTCCAAGTCTAGAAAGCACTCATCCCGTTTATCTTTCTTCATCTTCTCTACTACTGTACTACAAATTAAACTTCAAATAGCTTGTTCCAGGCTTTCCCTTTTCAGCCTCAACCTCCATTATCTGCTTCAGTGTTTCTTCTCCCTTAGACATGTTAATTCAAAACTTGGTGCTTTATAATGGGGCCCCTAAAATGCCTTCAAGAAGTCAAGCATTATCTCATTTTGCTGATGAAGTTAGTTGAAGCAGTTTAAAAAAATCACTATCCTTTACAAAGGTCATGCAGGAACTCAACAACAAAGTCTAGGAAAGCACCCATCCTGATTCGGAGCTATTCCTTATTGCACTACGCCACTTCCAGATTCTCTTCCTTTGATCCCAGCTGTTGTATTTTACATTTGGTGCCAAAAGCCATTACAATACTCTGCTAACACACATCCACTGTGTTGTCTTCTAAAACAGCTTGCCATCTGCTCTCCACAAGGCATCCATCTTTCTAATATGTTGACTTAGATACTGTAAGTTGCAGACGCTAAAAGTTCAGAGGCCAAACCAGCTAATCCCATCACAAAGACATCCTGTGTTTCTCAAGCATCTGGGCTCATCATGTGTTATATTAGCCATGCTTGTTACAACTCTTATGTAAACAGAAAGATGTTAATAATTTTTAACTAATGAGAAAATGTCGGGTTTGATATTTGAATTTAAATGCTAGATTGCTAAAGTTCAGACAAGGATTCTGCAATTTTGCCTACCTGTTGACCCAGAAGTTGTTTCAGGAGAGGACACATTTTGCACTGCTGCTTTTTCATTTCTCTGATTTGATGAAGAATTAAGTTTCTCTTGTCCTTTGACACTTATTTCTGTTTTGTTACCAACTCCCTTAAAAAGAAAAAAAAGAAAAGATTGTCTTAACCTATTTATGTATGTGTTGTTGCTACCAGGCATATTGATCTACTCCTAATTTTCAGAACAGAAACATTCAACACTCTTCAATGCAACACATACACATGATTATATCTACTACTGAGCTGCTTCCCTGCAGAGCTTTCCATCCCTCTCAATCTCCCCTTACAAACAAGGAAAAAAAAATACTCCAGTGACTTTTCTAAACATTACCTTCTCTATAATGCTTAGGATGAAATAAATACTCTCCAGGTAAAGAGGCAGAAGAAGGAGGCAGAGAAATAGTCCTAAACCTTTTCCTTACACTGACTGCGAGAAGCTGCTGTGCACCTGAAGGAAGCTAGGAGGCAGAACTCATTTTAAAAGTCTGTTATACAAAATGTAGTTATTACTTTTTAGTACATTATTAACAGTTTTGTCATCTCATCTGTTTCCCACAAATCCACTGATTTTAAGATTTACAGAGAATTTCTGGATTATTTCAGCTAGGAAGCTGGAATTAAACAGCTTTAATATTTTGAATGTGTTATGAGCAAAAATGTGACCATCTGTCGGGAGCTCCTCTGCCACCAGTCAAAATGGTTACTGCCAGAGACTTTTGGATGCACTGAAATAAAGAGTTCAGTGCACTATAAGATTCTGTTGTCACATCTGTCCTTTGTTAGATTTAATCTCTCCAATGAAAGGAACATGTATTGTGAAAGCTTGATGGACACAAGTTTAAGCTCCACAGTAAGACAGACTCGGGATAATTTATGAACAAAAGAGGAGTCACTACACAAAGTACATACCTTAGTGGAATAAACAAACTGATCGATGAGTTTTCCATCACCAGCAGCATTCTGAAGGGCAAAAACCTGTTCAATTTTAACAACTGGAGACATGTTACATTTTTGAAGATCCAAGTTGTGCATGGTTATTGAAGCTGGTAAGGATTTTCTAGCTGCAGCTGTTTTCCATGCAATTTTTACAGGAGGTGGCTCCTCTTCTTCCACACTTGACTGCCTCCGTTGGCTTTGTCTTCGCACCTCAGCATTTGAAGGTGACGCCGCTACCACGTTGGCATGTTCTGGTTGGGTGTTCAACGCTGGCTTCGGTCGTCGGTTCTTCTTGGTTTCTGATTTAGAAGCAGCAGTCTTTTTGGCTTTTGACAAAACCTCCTCTGGCTCTTTGTCTATATAAATGAAGGTGTATTGTTCTATCCTTTCTTCCCGAGTCATTTTCAATGCTTTCTCAGCATGGGCAATACCAATATCCCACTGAGCACGCTCCCTTTGCGGCCTTGGTTTGCGAATCTTAAGGAACAAAGACAAGCAGCTAATTACACTGAAGATTTTGCCATGAATAGCACTTAAAATGCAATCCTGAGGTTCTTTAAATCTCTCAGGCAGCAGATTTAAGTTTGCTCTCCATTTACAGTGTATTTTTTGAAAGGTGGACAGTGAATCCTCTGCTCAGAGTACAAGCAGACACTCAAGCTGGATCAGATGACCATCACAACTAAAAGTGTCTCCCCTGAGTTACAACTTCACTAAAGACAAGAACAGGCGGTATTCAAGCCCATAATTCTGTTATGAGACACAGAATTAATACTAATTTATCTACTTTTTAAATCCTCCTTGTTTTTCTATAAACACTCTTTTCCTGCCACATCAATATTTTGATTAGCATAAATAGGGACTGAAGTAGTCCATCTACACAGTACGTAATTCCTGTAAACTAACACTTCCTTTCCAATAAAAAAATGGAAAAGAACATATCCACTAGTATCAGGGGCTGGAAGAGTATCCTTTAAAAACTACATTTTCCAAAGAAGAGGTTAATAGTGAACACACAGGCATTGTTTTCAATATTCTAATACAGATGTAAAATTATCTCAAATGGCCAGGATGACTACCGTCGTGAGGAGGCAACAAAGTAGGTTCAGCTATCAGCCTTTTCACATGAAAGTCTTAAGAGTATGGAAACATTTTCATTATCTTTGTGAAAAAGACTTCTGCCAGGGAAATGCAGACAACCTTTACAGGGTAAAGTACTACAGAGTTTCAGAACTGCCCCACAAGAGTTTCACTTACACAGGCACTGTTGATAACCCTCTACACAATTAGTGTTCATCATACCTTCTGTTTCTCAGAGTGGTTGCTGGCTTGCTTAGCAGCCTCAGCCAATAATTGCTCATACTGTTTGTGTCCTTTGTACTCTCGAACCCGCTTCTCGTGCACCCACGCCCTCTCTGGCTGGTTGCTAAAAAACTGAACATGGTATTCACGGGCACCTGAAAATGCAAAACTCTAGTCAGCAGTTTTATCAACATCGCTTTGCTGGTTTAGTTTATGCTTTCGTCCTCCACATTACTCAATTCCTGCAGATGGAAGTATCTAGCTGAAGTTTAGAAATAAGATGGGCCTAGATATATAACAGTTTAAGATGGGAAGATAAGCATACCTTGCCCACACTGAACACTCACACACTTATCAGTGTCTTCTCATAAATACATTGACTTGAGAAAAGTGGGAGTATCTGTGCACAAGCCTAGTTTGCACAGGCTCATCTGTAGAGGCAATTTAACAGGTACTAGTTTTATACATTTCAGGAATAGTCCTGTTTAGCATACACACAAGCAGAATTCATCCCACAAAGGGAGTTCAAAGATAAGATATTTTTAATAAAGGAAGAACTACAGACACCTGATATACTCTGGAAAAGATCTTCCTCCCTTACCTCTTGTATTAATTTTGGTATGAACATCAAGCTGTGGATCACATGAAACCATGCAAGGCCACCACGGGTATGTTCCCACCTTGGACCAAACCAGATCGCCAACCTGAAACTTGATGTCATGGGTGACTTGTGTTGGAAGAGAAGGCAAGAACTGCTGGACCTACAAAGAAAATGCAAGCTTAAAGCCACAGAAGACAATTTAGTGCACTCAAGAGATGCACACACTATCCATAGGGACTTGTTATTTTTTTCTCAGGTATCCCTGAGGTTTGATAGTCTAACATGAGAGAAACATTTCTTAGAAACATGACAGAAAGGAGTTACATACAGCTATGATTTACACAAGATAGTCACTGACAAACCAAGACACAAAACAGCAAACGCCCCCCACCCCAAAAAAGTCTGTGCTTCATAAGTTGATGAAGAATGTTGCTTTTGGGATAAAATAAAACAATAGATACAGTGCAACAAGAGATGTTTTGATGCAGTAATGATTAATAAGAGTTTCAAAGAAATGGCAACTGCTTTATCTGACAAATTAAAAGAATCCATGTAATACTTAGTCCAAAAGCAGTAACACAATAGAAGTTCAAAAAGTGTTAATTAGTATATGTACTAACCGGGGTTTCCTCCAACACTGTATCTTCTCTTGGTCTTTCTGATAGCAAGCTAAGCCTCTCATTTGGTCTCTAGGAAATGGGTAACAATGAAGAGAAAAAAGGAGAACAAGCACAAACAAGGTAAGGGGACAGTAAAACTAAAAAAAGCTAATAATGAAACCAGGCAGAAAAAATAATTCACAGAGAGAAAGGCAACCATGAACCCAGAAAATATGAATATGATGATCTCCTTAAGCCCCATTCAAAGCACAGTAGCATCACAATCAAAAAATACCTTTTTTCCCTACACTATTTACATTACTGTCACACCTATGTACAACAACGTTCCCCTGTTATAGGCGATAGAAGAACATACACTCAGGGACAGTAAACCCAAATACCTTTCCACCTAAATTAATATACAACTTCAAAGAAACAGAGAAGAATATATGAAGGATATCCATAGTAACATGATGAGTCTCACTATATACCAGTTATTTGCAAAAACTACATTACAAAAATCACATTAAACATACAATATGAAAATTGTAAAATCAATGTTAAATTGCATATATTCGACAAATATATTTGGAGGCTCAACAGTCAACAACATAAAGCCTACGGTGCAATTATAAGCCAGGCTGAGGCATGCACGCAGTCTATTCTGGCAGAGTAGGACAGGAAAAGGTTTTGACAGAAGCGGGATCACCACTGAACAGAAGCTAACACCATCAGTGGAGGGGCCATGATAGGGAGTGCGATGACACAGCAGCTGAGAAGATAAGAGGTGGGCTGTGAACTATCTAATGAGACAAGAGACCAGACATTCACTTTTACTATAGCGGAGAAGTCAGTAGTCAAAGGACTCAAAAAGCAGCAAAAAGAGGAGTCACACACATGCAGTGAGAAACTAATAATACTGTTAATCCAAATTATACCTAGCTGATTTAAAAGGAAGACCCCATGTTAGTCAATACTGCATGCTTCAGCTCAGAGAAACTAGGAAACACACATGTAAACACCACCTAGAACAATTAAGGTCAGTTCTCGCATAGGTCAGTATCTCATTTAGAGCTATCTGTAGAAAACAAACATTTAAGACCATTCATGTTAGTATTTGCTGGGCAGAAGTCATTCCTCCCTGGTGCAGCAGAAAGCACAGCAATGACTCCTGCCTTTCTTTTGCTACAGTGAGTTAGTGGAAACTTCACCTCCGCCAGGAGAGGCAAGCTGATTATACAGATTGCAAAATTCCAGCTCCTCACAGAATACAACTAATGAGCAGAGCAGCTTATTCTTAAAACAAGTATTCAGAGCTTAAAGTTCAACAACGTTTTCATAACATTTTCATTTCAAATCAACCTTTCAAGTATGAACATCCCCGCACAGTCAGTGGGTTTCCACAGAGATTACAGTGTCAGAATGAGGAAACAACTGCAGATCACGGTACTTTCAAATACCCATGCTGAGTATAAAAGTGTAAAACCACCAAAGTTGTACCAGGAGTTTTGTTTGTTCCTATTAAGGTGATCCTACGTTACAGGTCTCATACCATTAATAGTAAAGATGACGAAAGTGTACACGATGAACGTACATGAAGATGAAACTGTGTAGTGGAAAGTCAAATGGTGGGAGGATAAAACTGAGGCTGCACTGGATAATTCATAATGAAAAACACTAGCACAAAATTCTGTTCATGTCAGAGTGATCTGCTGTCTGAAACAAGGGTGAGTAACATGGAAGCTTTTATTGCAACAACACCTTTTGAAAGGGAAATGGAAGCTACAAGGAGGACAAAAGCAAGACCAAGATTTCTGGTGAACGCTGGATGACACATACGACTAGGAACTTGGAATTTGAGAGGAAAGGTTTTAGTTCAATCTGGGAAAGACAGCATGCTGGAAAAGACAGAAGATTATGTTCTCATGACAATCAGGTAACATGAGTCAAACAGAGGGACAGGCACAGGTGAAGCTTCAAGAGCAGAATCAGAGTCCCTGGTAAGAAGGAGGACAAAGTGGTAAAGCAAAACTGACAGCCTGATGTGGGGGTGACGGAAGTCTGGAGAAGAGGCCAGAAAGCCTAGATAAAAGACCGTGCCTGTAGCTGAACTCTGAAAGAACCAAACTCACTGAGGTTTGATTTAAGTGAAACTTGGGGGATAAATGTATGATTACAGCAGCAAAGGACAGGTGGACAAACAATATACGAGCAGCAGAGGCATTCAGCAGAGAGCTGACCGCGAGAACAGACCCCTTTTTCTATCTCTCTATGCAGGTATAATGCCAGCATGAGGGAGATGCCATTCGGGGCATTGCCTTCCCATTATAACTGCCTCCTGGTAGCAGGCTGCCAGCTGGACACGTCGGTTGCTACAGCCACTTGAAAGTGGCTTCAAACGGCATTTGCAAGATCAAGCAAATGACGTACAAATGCAGTCACAGATGGCTCGTGTTTTAATTGGATAGTCCATTTCAAGTTTGGATTACAATGTTTATTAAGATCTTACTGAGTTTCATTAGAGTCAACTATGGTAATCAAATATAGTAGAAGCTCAAAATCTTGATACATCACCAACCTGATCTCTGGAAAAGGTCCACTTACTAGAAGGGAGATATAGCAGTTACAAAACTTGTAAATATTCCTTGTAAGGGTTGTGTATGTGAAATCAGCATGTCTTCCATTAAAAATAACAGCAACAACAACAATACTACTACTACTACAAGCATATGAACCTGCTGTACTAGATCAGAGTCCTGATCCCTACAGGACAGGATCTTCTCCAAAACCTACCAAAAGCAGCAAGTATCAAGGGGTTTCACAGGAACTTACAAGAAACTCAGCTGTATACTGTAACAGCCCAGCCCAGCCTGAGCTGGGCAATTTCTGTCCTGGCCTGATATGGCAACTTCCTCATTCCGGACACTTGCCACCCCTCTTTGCTACCCACTGCCCTCAAACTGGGAAATACAGAAACCAGTGTCACAGAGTTGGCAGGAACAAGCAAGAGAAAGGGAAACAAAAGTAATGAAGTGACTTATAAAACTGAAGAAAAAAGAGTGGCTGAGAGTACCAAAGCCCAGTAATTTGTGTCTCTACTTCCTGGAATCTAAGTTAAAGCACCACTTATAGATACACACCTTGTGTATGTACAACCATACTGCAAAACTTGACAGAAACGGTAATAGTTATCAATACTGAATTTTCCCAAAGTTTGCTGAGTCAACTGGCACTTCTAATTTGCCTGCTGGTTTAGAATACTAATTTCTACTGGCTTCTACATATGCTACATAGCTCTTGGGTTTTGTACATCACAATATTTAGAATTTCTTTCAAAAATTAATTAAAAGCTGCAGTGCTGAATATTCCAAGCAACCTGACTTTCCACTGAATAACCCAGCGTTATTTTGAGAGGCAATTTTAGGAATGGGTATGCTTGTATGCTTTTGGCCAAAAGCTCCATCTTCAACACTGTCCAAAGTGTAGCAAACTCTGAACACGCTAAGACACTGAGTAATATTTAAAAATATCATATAACCTTTTCTAACATTTATTTTTCACATGCAGTCTTTTAACCAAAACTGTGTTGTCCTAGAAATACAGTTCCTAGCAACCTAATATTGAGCATCTGACAAGTAAATAAAGCCTCATGACTTTAAGTATGTATACAACTAGAAGTAAGGAAAAACACTGCTGAAGACACATACTCCATCAACAATATCAGGTATACAGATGGCTGAAACTATTATTCCACTTACATTTTGCTCCTCTGGTTCTAATTTTGGAATTTTGTGCGACTTGCGCTCTTCCGATCGGGAAGAGTCATGCTTGCTACTTTTTTTCCTTTTCTCTTTTCTCCCTTCATGTTTTGCCTTAGCATACTCACTCGCTTGTACTTCATTTAAAAGGTCCCCACACAGAGAGGACTCAAACAATTCCCTGCCGTTCTGGATAGTTTTGGTTATTTTTAATTTGATCTCTGGTGAGCCAGTCTTCTTTGGAATCACCGTTTGTGAAACTGATGGTGGTGGTGGAGGTGGTGGCTGTGGAGGGGAAGGTTTTTCCAGAACTTCGTGCGGCCTTGCGTTAGAGTTTTCCATTTGGTAATACTCTGGGGGACTAAAGTTTCTGACGGTACCAAAACCATTGGCTGAACCATTGGGATATTGACTGTACGTCTGGTATTTGGCTTGAGGTTCGTACATATTGATTGTTGGTGGGTAGCCATTAGTGATGGGTGGAAGGTCCTCTGTCGTGGGTGTAGGGTACTGAAAGCCTTGCTGTAGGGCAGTTTCGTATGGCGTTTGTCCACCATCTTCAGCAATGTCACTGCTGGCATCAAAGGCATCCTCTTGGCGGATGTTGGCTGAGTCAATGAGTTGAGGTGGTTGCTGAATTGTGTTTCCCATGATCCCTTGCATGAAAGAGAAAGAGAAATCCATTGTTCTGCTCCAGCATCCTTAGCTTTCCCTTTTTCTCATAGGGCCTAAAGGCAGGGGAAGGGAAATAACAAGTCAGTGTAAATCAAAAGATAATAATTAAGCAAATTAAATTGTTGAGAAAAAAATAAAGAGATCTAAAGACCAATTTCGCCCTCTCCATTCAGTAGCCACCCTCTCCTGGATTTAGAGAGGACTGGTATTACTGCATCTTTAAAAATGGCTATTTATACATTTCTGCAGAACAGCCTTTTTGGCTGACCACTTTCTTCTTTTCCAAGACATTTAAAGAAAAGTTATAAGCACCTACAAGTGCTTTAAAACTATGAGGCCAAGCGTTATGAAGTCAGAATAATGGTGCCAAAATTCCAACCACTCTCTACAACCCTCCTAGTCTGGTGTTAGGAAGCTTTATTCTAACACAAAGCAGTAAGACAGCAGACTTTGACCCTCAAGCATACAGAAGATACCAAGTTCTCTTGACACCATAGTCACTACAAACTGAACAAGCCAGAAAAACCACAGAAAGACCACTCGAACAAGAGAGAAACCTCTTCTCTTCCTCCCCACCTCCTTGCCAAAACTCGAGACAGATGAGCAGCCCTTAGGCCAGCAGGAAACCTAAGCCACGGGCTTTTCTGAACAATGGCACAATTAAAGCAAATAGGCCATTCCACCTCAGCTGCTGGGAAAACCAGCTCATAGCATATGACAGCCTCAGATGGAGTTTCTCAACCTGTTCCCTCACCAGAAAAGCAGAGTAGAGGTTGCACTCCTTGGCTCTCAGCAGCTGAGGAGGGTTATTCTCCTGACTCCCCAACTCCCAGCCTTGTTTTAATATTAAACACTTGAGGGCTTAAACACTACATGGTTCTGAGGGAGAGAAAAAAAGCCTCGGCATCAAAAGATCTCCAAAACCTGAGGTTATTCACAGAACTAGATTACAGCTGAGAAAGCTGTCGTGCAGTTTCAATTTTCCATTGCATATTAAAACACCAAAATCAGACTAAATCAAAGTTAGATTTCCAAAACTCAACTACTGTCTCAGAGAAGGCTTTTGCATTCACCTAAATAATCTCAATGTTCAATACGAAGAAATATAAAGTGACCTAAACTTCAGGTAAGAAATACAAGTTTGCTTCCAAGCAAGGTCAATTTAGCCCTTCCAAAGTAAACATAGCCCTGTATTGTTTATTCTGCCTTTGTGTAGGCATAAAGGAGGGTTACTGTGCCCTTTTGGTCAGCATTTGAAACGACATTAACACATCCCACAGATACTTCTCATAACAAGAATCTACATATAACCCTGCCCACATTAAATTCTCACCCTCCCAATGCAATTCATCTCAATACCTTATCTAATAGTTTTCAAAACACTAAGAACACTTCCCTCCCTGAGACTGCAAACAGAAATTGAAGTAATAACAGCAACAAGTAAGAACTTGACCAGAATTTTGCTGGATGTTTTGTGGACTTCGTACTCGGATTATATTGATGGTTGTATTCAGTGCAATCAACTAGGGGCACATTTGTCACAGTAATTAAGCGACTTAGGAAAACTTAATAGCACAATGCCATGCAGCAAAATTCACTAATTGCAGTAACTTTTAAATCTTGTGGCTGTAAAACCGTCCCTTTTCTCCAGCAGCTCTCTGCACATCAGCCACAAAACCAACACAAAAATGTTACTGTCAAGGGGACAGCATGTTTGAGGGACAGCATATGGAGCAAACAGGATTGCATATCAAGGTCAAAAACACAAAACCACCACCCATTCTAGGAAGAGGAAGTGGGACTGTTTGTAGTATTTATCAATTAATTGTTACTTTACATCTGCCAAACTGAAGAGCAAACAACAGATTTCTCACACTAGTAAGAAATGGTACCCTAGGCTGCTTTTATTTGTTACTAAACCCAGGTTCAATCTTTTTTTGATTCTGAATATTTAAAAAAAACCCAAAAAACAAAAAACCCCGACTTATCTTGAGAAGCTGCAACAGTGCTTCAGTCATCCTGGCACATCCATTGCTGGATGGACAGAGTCAAAGCAGAAACAGTTTAAGAAATTTTAGAATTATTCGACTTCCCAGTTTTTTATTGTTGCTGTTTTCTTTTAATAGCAATTAAATCACTTTCTTTTACCCAAGTACTCTGAAAGTAAGACCATCCATTTAGTTTAGTAGAACTAAACACCAGAATGTTAAATAAGGATTCTGTTAAAGTACATCACACCAGGACCCAAACTTTGGGGTGGCCACCATGAACTATAAAAAGCAAAAATCAACTTGCAGAAATCAAAACTTTATAAAACAAAAAACTATACAGCATTCTGTGCTTTGTTAAGAATAACTTTGCTAATGTCATATGGTATTTGAATAATTATGCTTTATGTTTTCCTGCTTGTAAATCTGATTAAGAGTGGAAACTTTTTAAGTTTTGGGTCCTGCTGGAGGTTGCTAATCTGATGCAGTAAAATAATTTAAATGCTTTTCATTTCTCTCTTCAGAGGGAAGAGAAACGTGATAATTAGTTTAAAAGACTTTTTTTCCCCCAGGTGCAGGTTCTTTGGCCTTACTTATAATGTCAAATATCAAGGCAGAACACTCATTTCACTAAATAGTACAGTTCCTCTAACGATCAAGTATCTCATGGTGTAAGAGCAAAAAAACCCTCACTGCTGCTACCAGAACAATTAATCCTCATCCAGTCAACACCATCAGATTTAGAGCCTCCACAGACCCTCGTTTTCAAATCAGCAATGGATATTTACATTCAGGAGACTGCCTTGAAACTGTACATCTGTATAACCACCTTCTAGTCATACAACTCACCAAGTACAGACTGATAACTTGTGCCCCAACTGTTGTATCAGGGAGAAAAAAACCCTCTCTCTCCTACTACTGTGACCTGTGGGTTACACGACTTGGTCTTGTAAACCAGTTCATTCCTCTGGCAGCTGTTTAATGGCACGTCACTGTGGACAACGTTATAGAAATTCTGATTCGTTGCCCTGCTGGTATTTTGAATTCACTTAAATCTTCCTTAAAGACTTCTCTAAAATTGAGCCACAACACCAGGTGAGGCTGCATTCAGAACACCAGAAAGCTGTACATACAATCCACAGCCAAGTACTTCAGTTTTAGAAGCACTGAAATTGTACAACAGCCTAAGCAAAAGATTTCTGCCCTAAAAAGCATTACTCTGCACCATTTCTTTGAAATAAGAACAGACCTTTTTCTATTACACTGGCGACTTTCAGTCTTTTCTTAAAAGAGCTCCCACACTTCAAAAAGTTGGGATACTACCTAAACTATTTTGTGCAGCATTTCACTGGGACACCAAGGTTTATTTATTCTCTGGGATGTTACAAGTGTACATCTGGCCAATTACAACGTACTAGTATTAGGCTACTCATATTCACCCATTCTAATTCCATCTATAAACATTCAAAAGTTGATGATCTACAGACTGCCGAGTGATTTAATAAAGACTGTTTATGAGCCTCAGCCCTAACAGGAAGAACTCCCTGTCACAAGGCTAGAGCACTAAGCCATGACAACACTACAGGCTTCTCGTCACGGTCACGTCCATCTGGGTCTACAGCAAGATGCAATACTTGATCAACGTAGCCAGCAAAAGTCCTTACCCGTATGCAGACAAAGAACGCTCTTGCCAGGACAGCTTATTTTTCTCAGAAGGGCTGAAATAAGGTATAGCAGCAAAAATGCAGTTTTGCTAGTGTTGAGAAGCAGAAGTTCTCTGCTGATACCTTGGTACAACTATCCCACTGAAGTGGTATTAACGAGATCCAGACACAGTATTAACAGAATTCAAAAGCTGCACGACAGTGTCTGGTCCCTCTTATCTCCTCCACATACAGCCCTCCAGGTCAAAGTCTGCCCATGCTGTATCAGTCCCCAGCTGTGACAGTTCCTAAAGCTGTCAATGCACTCGCTTCCAGAGGCATTAATTGAAGAGGGTGGGTCATCAGTGTGCTTCATTTTGTTACGTGACAAAAGTTGTGGATTAACGAACTTCAAAACACTCTACCTACAATGGATTTAGGAGTTACCAGTAAAAGAAAATAGGGGTTTTTCTTGGTGTGTTTTTTTTTTTTTTTTTTTTTTTAAAATAATTCTTTTCTGAAGCTGACCTGTGTAAAATAGTTCTTGATGCCAGCCTATGCTTCATAGCCAGGACAATTTGTACACCTGACTCGTTATCTTCCTATAGAGGCTGTAGAAGCAAGGATTATTGCTTCACTGAATTGCTATTCTCAACAGTCTTAAAACACTCCCACAGAGCTGACATCATCGAGAACTTCTTCCTTCAGAGTCTTTTGCTGTCATCATGGTTATCACACCCAGATTTTCCCACCCCTCTTCCTTTCCAAAACTCTGCATCAGTTCGTTCATTTCTCAGTTGCTACCCAGTGAGACAGCATTGGGGCTGCGTTACAGTGAAAGGATAGCCCCCGGAGCCACTGAAATAATAGAACAAAACGATGAATCCTGAACACGTAGGAATATCAACATTTAAACCTAAGGAAGGATTACTTTGTAAAAGTCACTTTCAAGCTCTAATGCAAAGAATACCGCACTGTTGTTGAAATATCAACAACAGGCTCAAGACAGCTGTACTTATCCTTCCTCAGCAGAGGAACACTACATAAAACCACAAGTGAATGTGATTTTCAGTGATACGCGTTGATCTTGCAGAAAAGTATATCAGAATAAATTCTTCGCACTACAACAGCGATCACTTCGTTAAATTACAGTATCAGCCTCCTGCAAGCTGTAGAATTTAGTTTCCAAATATGACCCATAACAGATACTGCACCGATATGACCTTGGAACTCAACCAACAGATAAAGAAACAATTTATTTCAAGGTTTATAGGAAATGGATACTGTATAGCAGCTGGGTAACAACTCGGAATCAACCATACCTTCAAAACTCAACTGAATTTCCTAATGAGAGAAAAAGGAGTTTGCTCTCTAAAACTGGGTAGCCAGCATTCTGTACTTGTCCTTTCCCACAGCTGTAGG